GCTGGGCCATTAGAAAGAAATGACCTAAGAAACAAGGTAACCTGTTGCTATCTATCAACACTCAACAGTAACCCAACTTTCTGGGCATCATTTTCCTATTTAAAACTCATGTTTCCCCAAGTCTATACTGCAATCATTCATATAGATTGCAATATTTTTCTCTATAACTAGCAAGTGGTTAAATAGCTTGAACGCTAGACATCAATGGGTGTGATCCTTTTACTTACATTTATCAGTACTAATGTACTTATTTTGCATTTGAAATTCTCCAATGCCCTTGAAAGCATTAGTCCATCAGAATCTATGGGTGATGGAAAGACATTGGTCTCCAAAGAGGGAACCTTTGAGCTGGGTTTCTTTAGTCCTGGCATTTCGAATAACAGTTACTTGGGAATATGGTACAAGAATATCCCACTTAGAACCATTGTCTGGGTGGCAAACCGGCGCAATCCTATCAATGGTACTTCTGGCTTGTTGAAGATAGACGACACAGGAAATCTTGTACTTCTCATCAAGAACAGTAATGTTGTTGTTTGGTCTTCAAACTCGACAATAAAAGCTCAAAGTCCAATAGTACAACTTCTGGATTCCGGCAATCTGGTCTTAAGAGACAAACAAGATGCAAATACTGGAATCATATGGCAAAGTTTCGACTATCCGTGTGATACACTGTTGCCGGGAATGAAGCTCGGATGGGACTTAAAGACAGGATTTGATCGGCGTCTATCATCTTGGAAAAGCCCGGATAATCCATCTCCTGGAGACTTTACATGGACACTGGAACTTCAGAGTAACCCTGAGGGAGTGAACTGGAAGGGATCAAATAAGTACTACAGAAGTGGGCCATGGAATGGCATTGGATTTAGTGGTGCCCCAGAGATAAAGGCCAACCCACTTTTTTATTTTAATTTTGTCTCAAATGACCAGGAGGTGTATTATTCATATGACCTTAAGGATCCATCTGTAATCACGAGGATAGTCTTGAACCAAACTACCTATCATCGTCAGCGATTCACATGGAGTGAAGATACTAAAAGTTGGATTCTTTATGCTTCTGTCCCAAGAGATTACTGTGACAATTATGGTCTTTGTGGTGTAAATGGAAATTGCATTATTAGTGCGATGCCGGTCTGTCAATGTTTAGAAAAATTCAAGCCTAAGTCAGTAGAGGCATGGAACACAATGGACTGGTCTCAAGGATGTGTGCGAAATAAGGAATTAGAATGTCAGAAAGGAGATGGATTCATCAAACTTGATGGGCTCAAGGTGCCGGATGCTACACATTCTTGGGTCAACAAAACTATGAATCTCAAGGAATGCAGGGCTAAATGCTTACAAAACTGTTCCTGTACGGCATATACAAATTTAGATATTAGAGGAAGAGGCAGTGGCTGTGCTATTTGGTTTGGCGATCTGATAGATATTAGACAAGTTCCAATTGGAGGCCAGACACTATACGTTCGATTGCACGCTTCAGAAATAGGTATGTGGTTGCTATAATTTTCAGTATTCCATGAGCATGTGAATAAGCCACTGAAGTTAACCACTGTTTCCTTGATCACAGCTTCTTTGCTTCAGTTTTAGCAGAATTCTAACTATTCTTCATTTTGCAAATGACCATGAAGAGGCAAAAGCTAAACCTAAGATAAGGATTGCAGTGATAACCACAGTTACCATTGCCGTGGTCTTGGGGATGCTCATGGCCATCTATTACATCCGCAAAAGCAAGGCAAAGCCCGCAGGTAAGTTAATCAGACCGATCGCTATCTGTCACTAGATTTGTGACCATTTGGTATTCTTTCAATTTCTTTTAGGGTTACGAGTGTATAGATAGAATTAGATTGAACAATAGATCACTGCGAGATTGATACGTGGGATTTTTTTTTTTAATTTATAGCTAGCGTAATTTTTAATTTATTTATTAAATAGGGTTAATATTTTTATAGAAGTTTTTAAAAGATCTATTTCATATAAAGTTAAAATTTCATACAAATTAGAGATTGGGAAGATCTTGTTATTTTGTAAATTACTATTTAGGAATTGTTATAATTTTCTAGTTGATTTATAATTTTTTATTTTTATATAGTTTAGAACTCTTGTATTATTTTTTAAGTTTTGTTTACAATGTTTTTTCTAGTGTAAATATGATTATTTAACTTGTATTTCAATTAATAACTTAAACAGAAAATATTAAATAATAAAATTTTAATTCAATTACAAATTTAAACAAAAAATATTAAATAATAAAATTTCAATAGATAATTTTATGCTAATAGATATAACTTAAGGCCTTCAAATAGAAGTTAATATTAGAAAATTGCCATTTAATTTCTTTTTTCATATTTAGTTGTGATTTTTTATTATTTTTTATAGCTTTGTTTCGGATGTTTTTCTCCATGTTAATAAAGAAAATATTGATAAATAAAATTTTAAATTGGAGTTTTGCGGGGTAAAATTCTGTGTTGGTTGGATTTATTGTTTTTTTTTTTTTATC